TGGTGCTGGTGTATTTTGAGTGGTGGTAGAGGGTTTATTTTGATGTTTTTTAATTACTTTGTTTATTTGTTGCAGTGTGTAGCCATTTTGTCGTAGAGTGTTTTTTAATTCTTTGAGTTCGTTTTGAATGCTGTCTTTGTCGTATATAGTGAATGCTCTATAAATTAACGAGTTTATCACAGCTTGTTTTTGGGCTGGGTGATGATGTGATGCCGCGTGTAAATATCGATTGGTGTGGGTGAGTTTTCTATAGATTTGGTGGCCTAAAGAACTCTTCTACCACCCCCCCTCCCATTCCAATCTAGCGCTATAAAAAGGGACACCTGACCAAGAGCATCTCAGTATCAGGCTGCTCTTCAAACCCTGATGAAGTGAGCTGTAATGTTCACGAAACGTCGGTATAAAAATGACACTAACGCGGTTAAAACCCGAAAAAACATCTTTGTATGTTAATACTACACACCGCGAAAGCATCAAATATCAAATTTTGTCACATAATTTTGTAAATGGTTTCCTATCAGGGTATGCTGCCTGACGCGATCAACTAATCGATACACACTGTTTTTGTAGTTTTCTCTGTCTCTTTCTTTTTCTCTTTTTTTTTCTCAGTTATTTATTTCTTTTATCGTAATTTGTATTACTTAATCCGTGCATTACATAAATTACTGTCATTCACGGTGAGTTGCGCCGCTTTTGCGCATTATTTATAATATATTTATATAATATATATTTATAAAATATCCCTACCTCTCGTATCCGACTCGTGGTACGTCACCAATTTTTATTACTAACTCAAAAAGGTAGCTTCAGACACAATTTTGTCAAATACCATGGTGTTTTAAAATTTAGTCAAAAATATGTTACGTCTTGAGCCTATGGTTACGGTATCGGGCATTAGTGGTAGTACGCAACAGACGCACTGACACATTCAAGCGAACGTGAAGTCTATCCCGGCACACTGACACAAAAAAGAATGTCAGGAATGCGCGGGTCGAGCGAGACAGTTCGGCAACGCAGACAGACCAACGGAGTTACCCGATTTTTCTCTGTCTAACGTATTCTCACTCGTCGGTTCCTTTTTAGGTCTAAGACGCAAGTCTCAATTACCAAGGATGGAACCACGCGATTTAACGAGGAATGAGCGGGTTGTTAATTGAGTGTGGTTTACTAATAGTAGTTTGTTAGACGAGGTCCATAAGAGGTAAATTAATTAAAGCCGGATTTTGTTATGAAAATATTAACATAATCGTTTATTCAAATAGATTGTTAAAACAATGATAATAACTGAATGAAAACATAAGTAGACTCCGCATGAATTTGCTTTAAATTGGCACGTACAGTTCAGGTGCGACGGTTCGTGTTTTATATCGATTATTATTAGAGATCTCCGCGTATTGTTACAAACGGCGGAATGGTTTGTTGTAGTGACATCGAGCTGGATTGAAGTTAATAGAGGATCTTAAGTCCGGAGAGCTTTTACAAGAAATCATTTCTTGTCAAAATACACTGACACTAGTTACGGGTCGTCGGTCGGATCCGTCTCCGCAAGAGATCGTAAAATAAGAGGGTCTATTGTTCGGAANATTCTATTTTAACATAGGCGCTGTTCATTTGACTATGAGTAGCAAATCGAGATAATCAATTAAAAGTAGGTCACTATTATTGAATTATTGATTGGATAAATGTTCATGATTGTTATTACGGTACTCGGAATCATTACATTACGTTGTGTGTCGAGAATTAGAAATGGTTGTAAGAATTGATGATCTTGACTGCTGCTCATATCGAAATGCAAAAGGTGTATGAATATGTATTAGTGAGACTTACAAGGTACTCGGTGATATACTTTGGTGATAGCGATGCTAAAAATTGGCAAGGTGGCTCAGTGATTGGTCGTAGTTGTTTCGCTTGGATTCACGCTGCTCGCAGATGATTGCAAGGGAAGTCGGCGGCACCCTCAGCAAGTTCGACGAATGAGAAGTTTGCGAAATTTCTTTGATTCAAATTGACTGACCGATTGATTGTTATCACTGACTCTATCGCGAGAAGCTACTCTCTGAAGATCCGACTGTGTTGAAAAACTGCGTACTAATTAATGAATGCAAGAATGAAGAATGAATGAATGAATATGAATGCTTGCTCGATCGAGCATTCAGGGCTTTTATACCTGCGAGTTGATCTCTCCTTCTCCATCGTCTTTTCTCGAAATTTCGCCCTCTCGTTCGTTGACCGCCGGGGCAAAGACCTTTTCCCCGTTCTTTCGATTCTCCGGATCGATAGGATCATTGTGCGTTTAGATCTCGCTTATCGGTATATGGCCTATCTTGTTTATGTCTGCGAGTCGCAACTCTAGCCCCTTGATTTTCGATTTCCTTTCCAGAGTCGCGAGAGTTGCTGCGTCATGCCCAAAATTTCCAAGTGCGTACCTTGCGTACAGAGAGTCTTTGTTCATCGCATTTCTTTCTGAGGGGCGCTAACCTTTGCTCATCGATACCGGTTAGATTTTGTTTATAATATGGCGTCCGGCTAGGTTTGTTTATAGCATAGCACCCGGTTCGGACTTGTCTATCTTATCTCGGCTGGCTCTCGTTTCTCTTTCCAGGAATTTGTTACAAGAATTATTTCGCAGAATTATCGTTAGACTTAATAATTATATTCCGTTGCAAAATGAAAGAGCCCGTGGAGTCCAGGACGTAATAATATGTATTTACAAAAATAAAGGGTTCCTCTGAAGCTTTTGTACATGTATATATACATATACATATACTACAAAACAGGTGTACACACTTGTGTATTTTTAGCCGGCAACATAACAAATATACATAAGAACATAAAGGTTACAAAGTAAAGTAGAATGTTGCAAACATACAAATCCGCAGTCATAAAAAGGCACGTCATTATAATTAAAAAGATACTCTATAGAAGTGCTATATATTTGCTAAGTACACACGATTTGCAAAGTTTTACACCTTTAAAAAATTTAAATACAGTTTTCTTCGCAATGTAATTTTTTTGTGGCTTATCTATTTTTTGTTCATAAATGAACTGCACATAAAAAACCAATGATATATTTTGTTATACAAATGTATTGTTTACGATAGTGTAATATTTGTTGTTTTGGCATCATAAAGACTATAGTATACGAATGCTATCTAAAAAAACAAATATTCGTAATTTTTTGTTTAAAACAGTAAGTTTTATAAAAACTATCAGCAATACATGTAAATATTAAATAGAAAAAAATAACTTAGTAATCCTTATAAACATACATATAACTTAGGAAAGAATAAAAAAAATTGCTATATATTGAGATGTCACAAAACTAATAGAATCTACAATATTTTAGATATGAAACACTAAGTAACACAAAAATATTGTTAAATAATTATATATTAAAAACACTTGGTAATTAACACTATATTACAACATAATTTCTTTTGCTTTTATAGAATAAACTCCTGGAAATATTGAATAAGTTTCTTGATGACATATCATATTCTACGGAAAATAGTGCCAATAATCAATTCTATCATGAAGTTTTAAAATGGACATGCACCCTTGGTAGTTTAAAGTGCAATGAACATGTTAATGGAATATTAAACTGGCATTTTAAACATCCTACACAAAACAAGTATGTTATTCTATTTTCCCAATAGCAACTTGACGTCCGTTGAAGTCACAAAGATCTTATCGTGCTACTGGACTTATATCTATGGAATAACACTAATGGATTAAACTTTAAGAAGAATTATATTTATTTAAGTAAAATCCTAGATAGCTAATTGAGTGCAAATTGTTGGTAACTTGCCACAAATATTGCTAATCTCTCATATGCAAATTGTGAAAATATTGCACAAAAATGAATAACGACGATCACGAATAACGACCATCCTGCAATGATTGCACTTAGATGATTCGTTATAACGTAACAGTTTTGTCGAAATAAAATTTTGTAAATACTATTTGTCAAAATTTACAAAACAGTCGTTATGCATTCCCATAAGTATACGCAGAAATTACGTTGATTTCTTCATATGCAATTATATTACTATATATTATAAACATCACATAGCTGAAATTTCTTTCTCACTTATTGGACACTTTCTTTTTGAAATTAATTTTGCAAATATACTACTAAGATGATTCGCCATATCGTTCCTTTTTTTGCCGAAATAATATTTGCAAAATCATTTTGCAAACAATTACAAATATTTTTAAAACGATTAATGATTTACATCTATTTCCTAAAATATATCTGTATAATTGCAAATTAATATTTTAGTGCAAACTTTTGTCACATAATTTTGTAAATGTTTTCTTATCAGGGATAAGTTTTCAGCACTGTAAGAAAAGAGTGTATTTTGTTTTCAGTACGTTCTTGCCAGCAACAATCTTCAAAATATAATAACAGCAAGTTTCCAACACCTCATCAACAATAAACTTATATTATTTTTCAACTTACGAATACAAATCATTGCTAACATATTGCTCACATTGTGCTCACTTACTTGTCATAAACATTGTTTACAACAATTAGTTGACAATAAAACTCGTCATATTAATACTAACTTAACAAAAACATTTTTGTTGCATTAAATTAAACCAACACAACAGCAATTAGCGAGCACCTTAATCTAAACAATGATTTGCTTTATAGTGAGTTTTCACATTTGACTATCTGGAATAATATATTTTTTTTTTGCAGACTGTTGTCAAGTTGGCAGAAGTGGATATATTGCCAAAGACTAATGTTAGACACTGTCACTTATGAAACATCTGCTGTGTGGGAAGATATAGTCAAGATATACCAGACACAAAAGAAACTAGAACAACTTTTCGAATTCTTACCTTGCTCTAACCAGTATAAGAATTTGTCCGCCTTTCTCTCGTTTCTTTATCATAATTCTTTACTAATACGTAGAAGTAGTTTAAATGCAGACATTGGTGATTTTTACGAAGAAATTGTACGTGAAAAGAAAAGTGTTACTGTTACTTTACTATTTAATATTTTTGCTATGCATTCAAAAAATATGTCAGCGCTTGATGTTATACTAATCGGACTAGAAAATGGAATAGGAAGGTAAAAAGATTATTTTCTATGTATAAGCATTTTTATGCAGTAAAACAATTATTTAGTTTACATAATCTGCATATTTCTTATAATATCTTTAATCTATATTATTCTCATGTTGTATTGTATAAAGTATAATAGTAATTTTACATTTGAAGTAAAAATTTGGTTTTTGTTTTCTAGAGACGTGAACATACTAGCAATATTAAATTGTATTATAAACAACGTATATTCAGCCGACAGTTTGACAAGAGTATGTTGTATGATCTTCTTTCTTTTTTGAGTTTATATATGTACAACAGTATTTTGGTATTACATATATACATAGGGTGTCCGACAATTAGTGTAAACTCTCTCGTAGGCAGGTAGAAGGAGTAAACTTGTTCCAAAAAATCGAGAACTATTTTTTTCGGTTACATATAATGAAAAAGTAATTAAAAAGTAAATAATCAACCACGCGCCTGGTGTGCGTAAGCTCTCCGCGCGGCTCACAAGCTAACGTCCGGCTAAAGGTCGTCGCTGAGTAGCTTGATTTATTCACTAAGTACTTTTTTATTATATGTAATAGACAAAAATAATTAAGGACTTTTTGACTCAGATTTACTTCTTCTATCTGCCTACGAGAGATTTTACACTAATTATCGGTCACCCTGTATATATGTATGTATATAATAAAAAATGTAAAGAGGTGTATTTGTATAGTGTTGTCTAGATTCATACCTGCTTTTGATATAAGGAAAGAATAATTTCTCAAGAAACAATGGAAAATCATATAGGAGTATATGTGGTCGGATGCAATTTTGTATGATCGTGTACACTTGTATATAAGTGGAATATGATTTTATATAAGTTGGATATGATTCTATGTGATCGTGTAAAATCAAATCTGAAATTTGGCGCGATCTGATTTTATAAGATCATATATAAATATAAGAAATTATATACTATTGTACATACTTTTATGTGTTTATATATGATCCTATAAAATCAGATTGCGCTAAATTTGAAATCTGATTTTACAAGATCGTATACCATTATATCAAATTTATATAAAATCATATTCGACTTATCTAAAAGTTTATACGATCATACATAATTACATCCGATTTACATATAATTGTATATGATCACATAATGTTTCATTTTCTCTCGAGTTTATATTATTGAATAGTGGTACACGTTGTAAAGAAATCACACTAGTTGATAATAGTACATGTTTTTTTTAGATTGCTAACAAAATATTCTTAAAGAAATTGCTGCATATGCATCACATGGTAAATGTATGTATAGATTATTAAAAGTATTATTTTAATATTTTTTTGGAATCGGGCGTTACTTTTTCTCTTTCTTCAAATAAAACTTATTGTTTGTATTTGTTAGATTAATAGTATTTCTAGTAAAAGTATATCCCGTAATTCTTATAAAATTTGTACACAAGTATACAGGATTTTATTATAAATATATTTTGTAATCTGTTTTAGGAATCATTTGTTCTCGATGCTATTAACAAAAAAGTTGAAATTCGACGTATGTTTCTGGTTGAAATGGAAACTACGCTTTATTGTGAGCCTCAGTATATTTTTAATTACAAACGCTACGTAGTGTCGACCGCTGCCTGTGAATAAGTTTTCTTTTTATAATAGACTACTGTTAGTATTTCTTTGTAACCAAAATCTTTTAGATGAAAAATTCTACTGATGTGTCGTGTCCAAAGCTTGTGTGCTTTTTTTATTTAAGTAAGATTCATTTTATGATAACAAAATCGACTTATTAATTATAGCTAAAATCGAAAAGATACGTTTCGGATTTTAATATTTAATAGTTGGTACAGTGTTATCTATAAAATAAATTTATTTCTTCAATAAAATAGATTATTTCTATTACGCGCCGATTTCTACATATGTGTATAGTTAAGTATTGCACACAGAAATACAAATATATCAATCTCACGTTACATAAATTCAAAGTACTTAGATATAAAAATTTATATAATGTAAGAGAAAAGTTGATATCATACAATTTCATACATTCAGTGTTATTTGAGAATATAACAATTACTAAGTCACCAGTATTTCCAAAATGTTAGTGATAAGTTAGAGGTTCTTATGTTTGTTCTAGAAAAAATAGTTTTTTCCATTGAGTTATAATAAAATTATTAGTTGCACTAAAAGTATCGTATTACTTCCTAACGTTTCCTTAGTTTTTTACACTATGCAAATGTTTTCAAAACGTTCTGTTGCGAACACGTTTATATGCATGCATTTACGTCTCTTATTTCATTTGCGTTTTGCGACTAATGTAGAACAACGACCTTTAGTGTATATTACAATTGCAATTGTTTCTTAGAAGCATTATTAAATAAAAACGGAAATGTGATTACGTTACTCAAAGTAAGTCAGTAATGGTACATAATTTTCAGCGAAGAAGAGACAAAGAGAGACTACGTTATTGTACTTTTTTAAGGCCGAAGTATCGATAATTGTATACTGATTACGCATAAGACAGAAGAGAATCAATGAGAGCCTTTCACTCTGTATGTTGTTCTGAAAGGTTCTGATTGATTGAGTCTCTTATGTCTTATGCGATATTCAAAATTACCATGTGCTTCTACAATTATGTCACATTTGGTAGATTGCTTATGTAAAAAAAAAAGGTAACAAAATCAGAACATACTTATACACTATTTGCAATAGTTTCTTTTACGCGTGAGCAAGTAACAAAAGTAAACACGAGACACTTTATGTGTAACGTGCACAAACAACAATAAAACATAAAACAATGACAAAGTTAGTTGCATATTTCACTCAATGTGTTAGCATATTTGATGGAGCTTTGTTTCTCTTGCTTCTTGTGATATACATTTTTTCTTGTGTCAAGCTTCCCACTTTGATTTTCTTTTAAAATCCAGTTAGTTCAAACAGACTTGTCTGCAATATTGTAAAAAGGATGTTGAGTGAGTACTGTGCGTAATTGTACTAG